CTACTGTCTTTGTCTCTGTCTAAAGAGCCAGGAAGACTTCCTGGGATGTGCACTCTGTCCCCCGATGTGCTCACTGGTTTCCTCTGCCACTTATTACCTTGATGGCTTTGTTAACCTTCTATGTAAATGTACTTTCATTTACCTCAGCCTGTATCCAAGCTCGTCAGACAGGTAAATCCACATTCCTTTGTCTATGGCAGACTTGATTTATGCACTGCCTCCAAAACACATTTTAAGAACATATTCCCGGCACACATACATAACTCTTTATATACAACCCGCACATATATCATGCTATGATATTCCTAACCAGCCCATCACCAGTTTACAAGATACCTTTTGGATATATATTACAACAACGTGTTGGGGGTAGAGAGTGTGTTATATGAGTTACATTATAGTGGGCCCTCTGCCAGTGGGCATCGCGGGACTCTGAGGGTTACAGTTAGCTACCAAAACCTCCACTTTAACCTTTAGCAATTTCTATAATTCAGTTACGAGTCATGTCTACAAAAATCTGAAATCTGAAAATTAGGGGGGCAGCATGAAACAATGAATTTAATAACTTGAGAAAAACAAGGACTTTTGAACTGAATGTATTATTCCTTCTCCTATATAATTCTATTAAAAAAAACTTTTTTTTTTTAATTTACCCTGAAGCTGCTGTAGAATTTCCAGCCTGCCTCATTGGAGTGCTACAAAAATCAACACTACATACTTCAGATCTCGCTTGCTACAGATTATACACAGCCTTGCTTAATATGCATATAGATTGGGGGGGGGGGGGCAGAATAGTAAAATACAGCTTTAGGGCACCATCCCACTATGTTCTGTACCCTCTGACCTCAACCCAACACATGCTTAGATTAAGTATGTGTGAAGCCCCATTTTAAGTGCTCTTGCTGGGTCAGGGTTGGAGTGCTCAGCTCCCTGTCAGGTCAAGTCACAATATCTATGAAAAATAATACTGTTGCCTCTAAAACACCACAGTATTCTACCACTTGAACTAAAGTATCATCACAAACAACTTTTTCCATCCTCCCCACCCCCCACCCTCCATTCTGCCCTCCAACTAGTCGTTAATTACTCGATGGGTTAGGTATCTACAAGTTCAAGATGAACCTGCTTAAAACTGCTCCCTCATTTGCATGTATTGAGGCAGACTAGTCTGTCTCCTATGAATACATTATAAAGGCTAGTGAAGCCTCTTTTACGAGCAGTCGTTCCACCTGGCATTTGTGGCAAAGGCACTGCTCCCAAAAACTCTATCCTACTTTACCGCATTGATTTTTTTTTCTAAATTAATGAATACTGTCAGAACACTTAAATGAGCTTTCAGACTTTCTTCCCTTCTTCACATCTGTACTTTTCAACAACCTACACAAATTTTTAAATAGTTTTAAACAATTTTTAATAAGGGACATACATCACCACAAACAATACAGCCAAATTCCAATCATATTACATTGGAGTATAAGGAGTGTAAGGGTTTGAGAGAGGGTCACATGTTGCACACAATGCTTGTATTATTATTGATTTTAGTAACCTTTAGAAACCTACTCAACCTACCTACCCACATGCAAATTCAAATAAATTTAACATGCACTGGAAAACATAACACAAAAATAAACTGTTAAAACAAAGCTGTCTGGTACAGAAACCATCATACTTAAATGATTTATTCATTATAGACATCTGATGCCAGGCAACAAAATCCAATAAAGTTGGTATTTTAGGGCTATCTAATCTTTTGAGTATTTGAGAAAAAGGTTTAGGAGAAAAATATCTTTTTATTCACTAACTGAGCAAATCTGATTCAGAAATCAGTGAGTCAGAATGGGTATAGGATCCTGCAATGCAATTTTTATGCTGTCATTTTGAAAGGTAGAACTGGTCTTTGAAGACTTACTGAAACAAAACACAATTCTAGCTTTATGATTAAAGCCTGCCTTCAGACAATTCCAAAAGTTACCAGCACAGATGATGCAGAATAAACATACCTCCAAATATAGCACAACTTTAGTACATATATTGTGTACAAAATGTCCTATATCTAAGGCAGTGATACTCAGACTGAGGCTCATGAGTTGCAAGTGGTTCTTTAATGTGTCTCCTGCAGCTCTTTGCAACACATGATATTAAAACACTGTGATTTAATTATTAACCAGTTTAAGTTATTAACCAATTGGGATGCTTTTACTATGTTGTCAACCAATTGTATTTGATAAAATAATAATACTAGGTGAGTTATTTTGCTGTGTGTGTGAGAGAGAGAGAGAGAGAGAGAGAGAGAGTGTATGTGTGTGTGAGAGAGAGACAGAGAATGAATTCACACTACTGTGGCTCTTTTGGGTAATGCTGATTGCTAATTTGGTTCTTGAACCACTGAAGTCTCAGTATCCCTGATCTACGTTGATTAAATGCATGAGAAATAAGGGCAGGGCAAATAATTAATCCTACAAGGCTAATAGTGAATCCTACAAGTTTACCACCCACCAAAATTGCCCAGACCTTTCTGGGTGTAGCCCTGTCAGTAGCCAAATGCCACATGTCAGATATAAAGTATGCATACATTTCTAACAACTGAAATTAGGCTCCACAAAAATATTTCAAAGATGAGTGCATCCTCCTGTCAGAGACCGGGGGCGGGGGAGGGGAGTACTAGTCCACAATAAGATATAAAAAAGATTTTATGCAGTAGCTAAGTTTGTGAATATGTCAAGAGGAGAAAAATGTGAGACATGTTACTGTGTTTCCTAATTTCGGAATGCTGGTCTTTGCACCCTTACGCTTCTTTTAATGTATGGGATTTTTTATGTTGTATATTAAGTTTAAGAAGAAATGTAATTCCCTATCGTAAAGGTACAGCCCTATTTTCTTCTTTAATTTGTGTTTAATTTAAAGCTCATTAAATCAGTACTTGATGCTGCAAGCCCTTATGTGTTATCTCACTGCAGTTAAAGGAAGCTTTGCAGGATTTACACAAAAAGGTGGACGGGCAATATTCAAGATCCTCCCCCTATTTCTCAGTCTATTCACAGTAGCACTTCCTGGGGGGAAGCAACAATAAATGCTTCACCATATGGGCCTATTATATAGTATCTAAATCTAATACATGCAATGGTCACACTTCAAAAAAATTTCTCCATTTTGAAACCATTCTAGGGTTCAAGAGATATTCCATAAACTTTAAATGGGGAATACCACTGGAACTAGTAATACTGGGGGGGAACGGACTTAAGTGCGACCACTGTAATTCTTTTCATTAGCCTAAAAAAAAAAGTTTTACCCAGCAAGGGCTATCTAATTTCTTTTAGCTGTCTTAGAAGACAACTTGGAAGGGAAAAGTTTTGTTTTATGAGCAAGCCTAATATGGAAATTAGTGAATCACAAGGAATATGGGGAGAAATATTTTTGAAACACTAAGAGAAAAATAATTCTTTTGATTATATGCTGTTCCTATTTTCCTATATCTAAGCAGCTTTTCACATCTGTATAAGTGTATATCCTATCCTGGCCTGCTTCTCTCTATAACGCCTCTGCTTGCATTAATAGATTATGTAAACCGTTTTTTTTTTTTACTTCTTCACTTTTTTTCCCAACTTTTCAAACTTGCCAGCAAACCAAAAAAAACCAGTTATCTGCCCTGCTATAGTGCCTGAAACTAGACTCACAAGCCAGTATTTAGCCACCTGAATCTGAGCTCAGAAGCCTACCTTCAGTCACCCTTTTCTTTAAAAAAAATCTTTGACTTATTTATTGTGTTTAAGAGGCAGGAGAGAGAACCCAGAAAAGCAGACATGCAAGGCAAAACCTTAAATCTGCAATGCTATAAGCAAGAATGAAGCAAAACATAATCCAGGGAGCTCTGGGGCATATCTAGCAAAATGGCTACCCTACAAACAAACTGATAGGTTACAAACAAAGTAATCTACTGTCTTGAGATAACAATTTACTTTGACTGCTTAGAAATCAAACAATTATTAAAATATTTCAGGAGTTATATACAAGTATCTTCTCCTCCATGTACTAGTTTCTATAATCATTCAGCTAATTCAACTGAAGAAATAATCTGTCCTGATAAATCAGTGCGAAAAATCACATTTTCATACAACATAAAAACTACATTTTGGAGTGACAGACCATACTATTAATTTATAGTTCAATAACACCTCAAAAGTAAAGAATTCTGATTTTACCTCCCATTTGAGTCATCCATCTGACTACTCATCTGAGACACAGCAACTCCCCAAATACTGTTCCTTATCACCATGCTGAGGTAGTGGTGAAATGTAATGATTCAAAAGACAGACTCACACACTGAACTACCATTACAAATTCCAGCTGCATTCTAGATTTCCTTCAGAGGCTCCTATCAAAGAAATACCTATGCCCCCCAGCTTGTAAGATCTTGCTATATCACCTCCTGAGGTAGTGTGTATGCTACAGAATGGATCAGTAGTGAAAAAACTGATGAAGTTTGCCTACAGGTCTTTGTGGACATTAAAGAATCAAATCAATCATAAGAAGAGTACATAGTTAATCCTGCCATTCTGTCCATCGCAACAGGTCAGTTGCTAGCACAGTGGGCGTGAAGGTTTCTTGGCATTTATGCTCCCAGATTTGGTTTTTGGCTAAGGACACAAGCAAAAAGGTTACTCAAGTCATTAATTTAAAAGTTGCTAACTTTTTAAATTGAATTTGTTTCCGTTTTCTTCTGATTTCAGTTGACCTGCTTGATGTTCCTAGATTAAGTCCACTTCCAATAGAGTTTATTTCTTTTGCAACTGAAAAGGAAGTAAGGTTAATGAAACTGAAAAAGGGAACTCCAGAGGAGGCTGTAAGTTTCATACCAAGAGTTAATCTCAATGGGATCTCTCCTTAGGATAAGCGATGGCTGTATCAGTCTAACATGCTGAAATATTGCAATATCAGTGACAGTCAAAGTTAATTCAATAAAGCTTGTTACTCCTGTATGTGTTTTAGGCTTCAAGTCCTACCTTCGCTGTTCTTCTCCATGTTCCCCTGAAGGAACAGTCAGGCATTCATCCATGTGACCATGCAATAGCCTCAGCACATCACCTCCTATCAGATATCCTTGAATGAAAGGAAGAAGAGAAAGTCATGGATATTGGTCTGAGCTGAACCACAAAAAACATGTTCAAACAATGTTAAAAGCTCACTTGCTGGCTGGCCTCAAAACAGTCTCCAATTGTTCCCCATATCCATACCATGGGTGCATATACAGATCTGGGACCTGCAAGCACACACAAGTGTGCATGGTACACAGCACATGTGAAATTGAAGACAGTAGTAATAAATCCCTAATGAACTCACTTAAATCTCAAAAGTAAAAGTAAGAACATCAGGAAATTAGAACCTTTTCCTTCAGCCCCATTTTCTTTGTGCATGTGGTACTAAAAACTGACTGAATGTTATGATAGCCTCACAATGCCTTCCTATAATAGGATGAGCTAAGAGGACAGAGATTCAGTCAATTTCCAATTCAATTCAATGAGATTTTATTACCCTGAAAAGCTATACTAGTGTTGCCAAAATGTAATAAATTCAGTGCCTAACCATGAATTTCTCCTTGCTAGTATGGATTTATATCAGGATCTGCATCTGTACATGATTTGAGGGCTTAATTGCCTTGGTTTTACTATAGTAGCAAAAAGGAAAGTAAAATTGTCATTGGCATCCTACTGGTATAAAATCTTTGTATCAGATATTTTGTCCTTGGATAGAAATAGATTTAGCCACATTATGGAGCCAATCCTGCCTTTATCTCCCTGGGTGCAGCACTAGTGCCCGCTCTTTCATGAGAGAGGGAGCAGGACTGGGTGCTTGCATCTCCAGCGCAGCAGTGCCAAGCTCTTTGCATGGCCATGCTCCAGGAGTAGCCTCCACAGAGCGGTTCTACTGCCACTATGTGACAGGGGTATGTGAATTCCTCGCCTCCTCTTGCACAGGTCTTCCCAATGTCCTGCCGAGATCCTCAGCCTCGGCACTGGGGACTCAATTTGCCCCTTTGCGAACCATTCTTCATATGTATTTGATGCACTCATATGTTCATAACCCATTTGTTTTTCTCCCAGGTTTTTCATTCATTCATTCAACAGACAGCTGAACAGGTAGATGCAGGCGATGGGAGCGTTTTCCTTAACAGGAAAAAAATTGATTTTTGTTTTGTTTTTTGAAAGTAGGAGCGGGGGAGAATGTCCCACCCTCCTCATACTCAAAAACAGTTATTCTCGATATACTTTTGTTCAACTTTTTGAAAAAGCATGTATCTTTGGGTACAAAACAAGCCTGGAAAAAATTCAGCCTGAAAAGTATTCATTTCAGAAAGTTATGAACATGTGAAAATAGGATGCTAGAAAGGAAATAGTTACATAATCTTATAACAAGAAAGGCTGTGACTGCTATAGATACTTTAGCCATATTGCAAAGCAATTACAGTGTACAGAATTTCAAATATAAATGTTAAAAGTAGCACATTTATGAATATTTGAAATCTAAGTATATACTAAGAAAAAACCCTTTCAACCCTATATGCTCTTGAGCAAATTCAGTGCCTACATTTATGATTCAATATTGGATTAGCATTTGGCTTTCTTCTCTTTTATTTTGAGATAGTACAAATTTATTTGGGGAGTTTTCAGAAGTGAACTTTTGATTTGTAGGTAAAGGATTTTGATATGATAGCTTATTATGATTCCTTCGGAGTCATTACCAGACACATTTTAATTTTGTGATATGGATCGATATTGGGGTTAATACAGATATGTGTATTCAGACGTATGCCCATCTTCAAAAGGCAAAACACTGCCCAAAGAAACTCTTTGTAAACTGCCCCCATGCAATTTACAGTACAGTATTGTTTGACTTGTAGTTAAAGACCCACTTCCACTAAGCAACTTACGTTTGCTGATTCCTTAACACAGGTTTGTGAAAAATAGTGCAACCAAGTTTTACAAAGTAACAAATTCATTTAAGTTGGCTACAAATTCCTATTTCACATAATGGACTTATGTACATTTTTACTTAAATAAAAGCCATTGTTATGTTACTGAAATGTTTCAAAAATCTGACACAAATGTCTTCTTGTTTCTACAAACTAATGTAAAACAAAGAGCTAAAGTTATAACAGTTTTTTTTTAAGAGAATGGAAAATTTTGATCCAGAACAGGTGTTCTCTGGAATTACGTATACCTAGAACCAATAACTTTGCAGTTTGCATTCAACGATGTCAAAGCATTTAATAGACACTAATTAAATGAATGTCACCTTGCACTCTGGGATAACAATTATCCATATTTTAATTATAGATAAAATAAGGCACAGAGACCAAGGTGATTTGTCCAGGGTCATACACAAAATCAGTGCTTTAACTTCAAGATCACCCTTCCTTCACAAAGGACATAGACTTAATTACAGTAGTGATTGCAGGCTTTGCTGTAATAAAGTCTTCACTACTAATAGTAATTGTTTCTGACGTTACCCAGATGATCACCTATGCAAGGGAAAATGCTGCTCCCAAAAATTAAGTCAAATTAGGTAGTTAAATGCCTATACCTATAAAAGGGACAAAAAGGAAAAATTGTATTGACTTGAGTTTCAATCAAATGCTCTGATACAAAAATGCAAAACTGGCATCATTTTCACATGATTGTCTGTGGGTATAAACACCTCATCTGCTACTACTTTTCAGTCATGCTAGACTATGCACTGATAATTGCCTAACAATTCACTGTAGGCAGACACCATTTTATTCAAGCTCTGAATGTGTAAAATGGCTCTGTTACCCTCACAGAACAAGGAAAATGAAGATAATTGGTGTTAATGACAGTGTTAATCAAATCAGAACAAAACCAGCAGAAATACCTTCCAGAAAAATCTGTCAGTTAAAAAAATTTAAACTGGTGGGTGTTATTTTGTTCTGTTTATTTTTTAAAAAACACAATACACCCTGCAGTAGATTGGGAAAGTAAGTATGTCTGTGAGTTTGCTAAAAGGACTGTCAGTACAGTATTTATAAAAGTAAATGACAAAATTAACTTTCTACAGAATTACAAATTATTGAGTTTTCTGCCATAAGAGATTATTTTGTAAGAAGGATCCCTCTTTCTCCTCTGCCTCCTTCCACAGATGTACTAACGTGTCATGGTGTTGAAATTCAGGAATCCTTTGCCCAAATTTCACTTCAACAGTTGAATAAAAATTCTTTCTAGACCCTAAATATAACAGACCCATTCTACAGCCTGTCCCATTCCTGGCTCTTCCTCATCCATGGCCCGTCTCAGTCCCATTCTCCTCACACAAACAGTCCCATTCTCCTTGCCCAGCAAGTCCTAGGCTCGTCCTTCAAGACAGATGCAGGGAATGAACCCAGGCCCTTTGGATTTAAAAGCATGAACATCTGCTGCCTGAGTTAAAGAACAAGGCCCTTAGCTGGAAGCAGTAGCAAACTCATAATCCTCTAAATGTGCTCTAACTATTAGAGGTGGACAAACAGCATCACTGTGTTAGTGTGGAAATATAGAAATTGTTTGGTAACCTAAACATAGGGGTCACTATATATATTGCAACCTTAAGATTGATATGAGAGAGTAATTTTAAATTTGGACTGTAAAGTACTCTATCATTTATTTTCAACATAAATGTGACTTTAGGATAAAAACATTTAGTTCATTTTTTTCATTCCTCAGAAATAAGTGTGTAGAAAATCATTATTATACACTTCAGCACAGTTTTTATTCTTTGTTTTTGGAACATATTTTTTTACATCCATTTGTGAGATCAAATGTTCATGCAAGGGAAACCCCATTGCTACAGTACACTAATCATTGGCAGATTTTTTGAGGGGGGTTATTTAATTCACAGTCCGGGGGACTCTAATAACTAAAATCAAGTCAATCTTACCTTGGGCTACTTCACTTCCTGAACTGATTGGGGCTACACTCCAGAGTGTTTGCTGGAAGGCTGCATCAACATGTAAGCTACCATTGCCATAAGACAGATGCTACACAAAGGAGAGAAATTAGATATTTATTACAGATTTTAAAAATTCCTATCAGATTTTAATTAAATCACATGGAAACATTCATTCAGTATTCACACACAGGAATAGTCTCCCTTGACTTTCACAGGCCAGGCTTACATATTCAGTACATTCTATCACAGGGACACATGTACAGTAGCTACAAATGAAAAATAAATCCTCTGACCCATCCAAAATTGTTATATAATCCAATCCTGATTCATTAAATTTTATCTCTACATATGAAGCCCAGCAATATGTATCTAGGTCCTCAGTTCACAACATACAAGCATCTGCTCCTGTCCTGTAACATTATGGTTTTTATGTAGGGTCAAGCAGGTCAGGGAAGCCACACCCTATACATGGCAGTTACAAGAGAAATCCAATGAGGGGAGAATTACAATAATCTAGGCTAGATTGGTAGAGGTGCGAATGCCCCAGGCATAGTCCACATTAGAGAGAAAGAGATAATCCATCTAAACACCACAGAAATGGCGAAGTCTGCCATAAAGTTAGCTGATCTTAACTAAAAGCAAGGAGAAAACATCCTGGGTAGGAAAGATTAGTCTTATCAAAATGGAAATCTGCCCCTGTTTTATATATATTTTATATCACTTCCCCTTTGATATTCCCAAAATTATTTTTCAAGATATTCAAAAGTCTCTTGTAATTTTATTTAGCAGTATCCTGGACCATGAATCCATCTGATGATTTTCTGACACCTGAAAATGAAAGGTGGTTTAGCCCTACTCAATATACAACATCACTGGAATTTACACTTGTTATCATTTATAGGTTGGCTATACTAGAATAGAGATTGTTTATGACTTCTTCCTAGGAGGGAAGCAGAAAGTCTGGTGCCAATTCATTGCCTCTTTCACCACTACTAACATCTCCTCTGAGTGTTTAGACTCAGTGGTTGCCTATTCATTTCAATCTGGGAACAGATTATAGATTTTCTAAATTTGGCACTGGTTTATTCATCCTCCGTGCTTCTCAATGCACTTGGGGATGGGGGGAGGAGATATGCGTCAGGATTTACATCTCATGAATTAAATGTATGTCTAAACTGCATTCACCATGCCAATCTATATCTGCTGCACCAATCACCAAGTTTACTCTGCAGAAGTATGATGCAGATACAGGTTCTCCCTGATCCAAGTAAGGTCCAGGTTATATTGAGCCATTATAGAGGAGAAAATATCTATGTGGGGGAGAAGTAGGCAGAAAAGGGAGGAAAATGCCCTCTGAAACAACTGAGTGAATAATGACATACCTAGTCACTGTTTCCAGGGAGTAGCGGAGGCAGCACTAGACTAAACCCATAACAAGTCTCTATTTGCATTAGAAAGGAAGTCATATAAGTGATTCTGCAGAACATAAAGGTTCTTGGTGCTTTGGAACAAAAAACAGTTTCTACTAACCTTTCTGGTGAGATCCAAAAACAAAGAAATCTTTTAGCACTTCTGCCATTTCCACATTTTCTGTCATTGTTCCCACCCCCTCCCCCATATTGAGTAACAGGCATATGCTGTCCTTGGTCTTCCTTTTGTTACTTATGTATTTGTAGAATATTTTCTTGTTATCCTTTATGTCTCTAGCTAGTTTAATCTCATTTTGTGCCTTGGCCTTTTTAATTTTGTCACTACATGTGTCTCCCTTTTTTTTTAATGTGTAATCTGTTTTGCTAATGTACTCTCTACTATCTTGGAGTGAGTGCCTAATACACTTCTCTCCTTCTCAGGTTTCAGAGTAGCAGCCGTGTTAGTCTGTATTTGCAAAAAGAAAAGGAGTTCTTGTGGCACCTTACAGACTAACCAATTTATTTGAGCATAAGCTTTCGTGAGCTACTTCATTGGATGCATTCAGTGGAAAATACAGTGAGGAGATTTATATACACACAGAACATGAAAAAATGGGTGTTATCATACACACTGTAAGGAGAGTGATCACTTAAGATAAGCTATTACCAGCAGGAGAGCGGGGAGGGAGGGGGAGAAAACCTTTTGTAGTGATAATCAAGGTGGGCCAATTCCAGCAGTTAACAGAAACGTCTGACGAACAGTGGGGTGTTGGGGGAGGGGAGAAAATAAACATGGGGAAATAGTTTTACTTTGTGCAATGACCCATCCACTCCCTGTCTCTATTCAAGCCTAAGTTAATTGTATCCAGTTTGCAAATTAATTCCAATTCAGCAGTCTCTCGTTGGAGTCTGTTTTTGAAGTCTTTTTGTTGTAATATTGCGACTTTTAGGTCTGTAATCGAGTGACCAGAGAGACTGAAGTGTTCTCCGACTGGTTTATGAATGTTATATTCTTGACATCTGATTTGTGTCCATTTATTCTTTTACATAGAGACTGTCCAGTCTGACCAATGTACATGGCAGAGGGGCATTGCTAGCACATGATGGCATATATCACATTGGTAGATGCGCAGGTGAACGAGCCTCTGATAGTGTGGCTGATGTGATTAGGCCCTATGATGGCGTCCCCTGAATAGATATGTGGACACAGTTGGCAACGGGCTTTGTTGCAAGGATAGGTTCCTAGGTTAGTGGTTCTGTTGTATGGTGTGTGGTTGCTGGTGAGTATTTGCTTCAGGTTGGGGGGCTGTCTGTAGGCAAGGACTGGCCTGTCTCCCAAGATTTGTGAGAGTGATGGGTTGTAGATCCTTGATAACCCTCCTTCTCAGTTTCAGTTCTTTATGTGCCCAATCAGCAACCATCACATGGCTATCTTTTAAGTCTGTTGTCTTATCTGTTTTTGCTGTTTTTCTAAGTAGTATGAAGATATATTTTGTTGTCTCAGACATTCTACTATTAAAAGATGTAACTTGCAATAATCCTACAAAGCCGGCACCCTACATTGTCAGAATCAGTTCCATTAATAGGTATTTGGGGACTTCTGATGTACTGTAAAGACTACAGAGAAGCTATTGAGAACTGTCCGGTAAATAAGAACTTCGATTTTTAATTATTATTATTTACTTTACCAAATTAACAACTGTTCACATACAGTAACATTTAGACAGTTATCAGAAGTGTATTTTAAATTATTGGACTGTAACAGTAACCAAAGTAATGAGTGCTTTAGAAAATCCTAAACTAAGTTACCTAGATCAGACCTGAGGAGCAATGGCAGATTCTTGACACCAGTGACTTTAGCATGGGCCTTCATTTTTTTTTATTATATCTGACATACATTAAGATTGCTGGGAGACAGTCTACAACAGGTAATCACTAAAATAATAGATTTCAGAGTAACAGCCGTGTTAGTCTGTATTCGCAAAAAGAAAAGGAGTACTTGTGGCACCTTAGAGACTAACCAATTTATTTGAGCATGAGCTTTCGTGAGCTACAGTGAGCTGTAGCTCGCGAAAGCTCATGCTCAAATAAATTGGTTAGTCTCTAAGGTGCCACAAGTACTCCTTTTCTTTTTGTAAAATAATAGAATGTCAACTACCAACAGCATAATGGTGGTATGTCATCCCATCTTTCTGTTTCCTGCCTGGTCTCTCTGAGTGCATATCTTACTGCTATGACATAATACAAGCATTGCAAATCTGCCTACTGAGCTCCCAGCTCATTGAGATGAATCAGGTAACAAGCATTAATGTGAATAGAATGCTATCTCCTAGTTATGCTTTTTCCACAGGACACCTGCCTCATTCAGTGCATAGGATGGTTTGTTCTCACTGAATGAGCAGGTACTTTATACTTTCTTTTCTCTTCATTGTTCAGTGTGTGGCTCCATGCCTCGCATACTGTGCACTATTCAAATCCTGCTCTGAATACAGAATTATTAATTTCTTTATGGGCTTTTCTATACTGCCCATCACTGAATCACCTGAATGCTTCACCAACATTAATGAATTTATCTTTCCAACACCCCTGCAAGGAAAGATGGAATAATTATTTCCATTTTAGAGATGGGTGACTGAAGCACAGAGGCTATTCATTATTATTATTATTTTATTAATCTGTATTACCGTAGTGCCTAGGAGTCAGAGGTGGATTACTGTTTCGTGGGGCCCTGGACCAGAGCAAGTGGGGGGGAGGGGGCCCTCAGCATACCTTCCACCTGCAGGCTTGCCCCCCATTCCACCTCTTCTGCCTGTAGCCTGCCACAACTGCACATCGTTCTGCCCCTTTCCCCAACGGCCCCTCCCCGTTCCACCCCATTCTGTCCCCCCCAACCGTGTCCCCCATTTGCTCCTTTCTCCCCCCTGCCCTTACTGCAGCCCAAGACCGGAGAAGTTCTGTCTCCACTGCCAGGGCCCTGGGACCGCAGCTGCAGCACAGAGCCAGAGCTCCTCCAATCCCAGGCCCGCAGCTTCCCCTGCTGCCCCACGCTTCTGCACGGGACCGGGTTGCCACTTCTCCCGCTCCACCCACCCAGCACTGCTGCCAGGGAGTGCAGCATTGTTAGGGCATAGGGGTTTGCCCCACCCTGGCACTTGTCTGCTGGGAGCGCAATGCCCATTTTTCTGGGACCCCCGCAATTGGCCGGGGCTCCTGAGCACAGGCCCTGTGGGCCCATTGGCTAGTCTGCCACTGCTAGGAGCCGTAGTCATGGACCAGAACCCCACTGTGGTAAGCACTGTACAAACACGTGAATATGGTCTGATTTTTCAGAGAACCTAGTATTTTATAGCATTTTATTTCACCGCCCATCTGGCGTTGACTTCATTCGCAGCTGTCATTGCTTAGAACTTCTGCAGACCAAAGGTATCTCAAGTTGGGTACCCAGAAAATTAGCAACATATGTTTAGTGGCCACCTGTGAAAAATTTCATTTAAGTGACTTGCCCAGTATCACATAGGAAATGTGTGGCAGAGAGAGAATCCAGTTCTCCTGGGAAGCATTCGACTGCCTTACCTATGAAACCTTCTTTTATCTTCTTGCAGTACCCTGCCTCATTCACTGCACACCTTTCAACTTCTTAACAAATGAAACACAGATCCTACAGACAACAGCCTCATTA